GATAGATAGATAGATAGATAGATAGATAGATAGATATCATCTGTTAATTTTTAATGAACTTTAGTTCGCCATTAAATCTCTGAACCAGATTCTACAAAAACATTTAAAATTGTATAGGTTTTCTTCATCATTGGATGTATTTGCACTCATTGTGTCTACTTTTATTGTTCAATTAGATGTGTGGTTTTGTTTCTTGTTCACGGATATTTTATTATTTTTTAGCTTTACTTTAAAGTTGAATTCTTGTTTAGTGATTTGTACATCAGTGGGTTTGAATAAAGTTGAACTAAAGGCCGTATCTCTTCTTTAAACATATATTTGAGGGAAATATTCCTGAGAGATCCAATAATTTTGTGTCTTTGTGATTTTTCAGCTCAGTTAACTTTAACAGATTATTTAATAATCATTAAAGTGAAAACAGGATTTCATGATAAAGCCGGCACCGTTTATTTATTTATTTTTTAATCTTTGCTAATAAAAAAAAAAAAACCTTTTTTTTTTTAATACATAAAATGTTTGTAAAAATTGTTTCCACCCTCCGCCCCAGACCCGTCCCGGTCCACCCTTCTGCTGGGATCGGGGTTCGTCCTTCATGAGTACGCAAGGCTGGGGTCTGGGCACCGGCCTTCTGCGAGTCAGCAACTCGTATGATCCTTGGTGGTAACCAGCGGAGCTCGGACCCCACAGAGCACGCAAGGGCGGGATCCTGAGCCCGAGCCCTGAGTCGGCAGCATGGAGGATCTTCCGCGGTGACCGGCGGAGCTCGGAACAGAGGAGATGACGCCCGGCATGGCCTGAGGGGGATCCAGTGGACAGGACCGGAGAGAGTCAGGGACCGGTGGAGCTCCATCTAGCTGGCTCTGGATTTTGTCGTCGGCCACCAAGCACAAAAAACGCTTGCACTTCAGGATTAGACCATGGTGTTGTCATTATTTTTTTTTTTAATCTTTAAAATGGGTCCAGTCGCTCCTCGAGTTCGAACACCGGTAATTACAAATGGCGGCTCTTGTTGATGTGAAAAGTTTCTCAAACAGCTTCTGACCAATCAGTGACCAACAGTGTTCTGACATCACGTTTTGGTGCCGGCTCAAATCGCTTGGTACCCTTGAGAAGAAGGAACCAAAAAAGTTGCCGGTTCCACAAAAAAGTAACAGTGGAAAAGGACTCGAAACCGAACCGAGTCGAGTCGCGCTGAAGAGGAGCTATGGAAAAGTTCGCTGTGGCGACCCCTGAAGAAGGGAGCAGCCGAAAGAAGAACAAAAATTAAATCACACCAATCAAAACTTTTTGCACCCATCTCCTGGATAAGCTGAATGTTTTGACCTATGAATAAGATAAACAGAACAAAGTGTGCAGGAGGAGTTGCAAAATAAGGCCTAGAGAAATCCAACCTGCACAAAATGGAGCTAAGGAATATCTGAATAATCTGTGACATGTAGAAAAGGTTTATCTGTGAAAAAGGTTTTATTTGAGATAAAGTTTAGGCAAATATTTCATTGAATGGCATGTACTGATCATAAAATCCCAGATGAAACAAGTTGATACTTTGGTCTGATGTGTAAAAAGTCCACCTGTTATCAAGCAAACAAACAAACTGCAGGAAGATGAGCGTGTTTCATAATCTCTGTGTTTTGTGGTGTTTTTGTGAACTTGTGTTTATTTTTATTTAGTTCTTTCTTTGAGTCAGTTTTCCGGTGTTTCCAGCTTCTCCGGTATTTTTCTCTTCATGTTGGGCGGCTCCTGCTCCTCCCACTCTCACCTGCTCCTGATTATCCTCCCCAGCTGTTTATTCCCTCTCGTTACTTTTGGTCTTTAAATAATGTCTCGTGTTTGTCCCTCGTCCGTGGATTGTGCTTCCCATAGCTGTCAGGCTCAGTCCTCGCACCGTGTCCACGTCAGCTCTTTCATTTTTGTATTTTAAGTTTAATAAATATGTTTCCCTGATTTCTGTTTGCATCTGGGTTCAACTCTACACCGATTGTGATAGTGAGCTGATAGCTTCCACAAACCAAGGCTTGATTACAATTTTCTTCAGAGAAAGCCGCGTTTACTCACCCCACAAGTGATGAACCACATACAGGTCACCGATCTGGGCGAAAAAGCCGCCCACTGCTTCGTTGTTTTCTTGCCTGTGTTTGATTGCCCTTGCCCTGAAGAAAGAGATGCTGTTTTCAGGAGTATAATTCACACTTCTATTAAAAATCAGATAAAATAAAGGCTACAACACTGATTGTATTTATACGTCAAGTAGGTGAAGCTCATCTTACCAGTGGTTGCCCCATTCAATCATGGTTCCCGGCTGAAAGACAGAACACACTGAGGCAACAAACATGGCAACACAAGCAGCAATTTCATCACAGTTTTTGTTTATTTGCTCCTAGCCTGTTGGTTTTAAATAAACCAAGAAACCCACACACAAGTGAACAGACTGCACACAGATTTTCTTAGATTTGCTTCTATTCTTTTAAATTTGTTAAGTTGTGGCGCTGAGTGATTTGGGTAGTTTAAAATTGCATGTGAAGATTTTAAAGTGGAATAGAGCTTATTGATGAAAAGCACATTTTCCACACAGCAGTCCACTTTCCATTACTGTGATTCTGATAATTTAGCAACATTTATCTTATAACTGGTTCATCTTTAGACTACGACACATCTTATTAGAAAGGAAAGATGCTTTAAAAAAATATGCACTAATATGAGAGTTTTGAGAGTAACCAAGATGTAGGAATACAGCACATTCAATGGACTTCATAAATATTCTGTCTCCATAAGATAAAATAAGCGTCTAATGTTTTCCAGACAATGTTAAAATATTACATGGGTCTTCTGCAAATAAATGTACAGAATAATGTTAATGACCTTGAGGTTGTAGGTGCGCAGCTCGTAGATGTTTGGTCCTTGTCTTGGCAGAGGTTCATTCCAGAAACTGAACTCCAGAAGAAGCTGGTTTTGTCTCGATAACAACATTTTTGCTCTCTCCTTCTGAAAATCCAAATACTCCTGAAAGGTTTAAAAGTTGTCAAAATTAAAAAAATAATAAATAAAACTGCATGCACATACGATGCATTAAATGTGCTTTTAAAATGTGCGCAATTAAACCGTAAAATTGTAATAAAACATAAATTAGCACAATTTTAACTCAAGATATAATCTTCTCAACCTAGAAAATATTAACACATTAACAATAAAGGTGGTTTTAAAGTATTTATCTGAAGCACACACAACTTTACACATAGGATGGATTTTCTAAGGGTAGTTGTTACTGTCTTATAGGAACTATTCAAAGCAAACATTGTGCAAGTGACCTTATTGGCTCTCAGTTTGTGCAGACATTGGGTCAGAGCTGGAAAGCCTCCTCTGTATCTCCACAGATGAACTGAGAGAAGAGAACAGCAGATGTCACTGCAGCACTTTACAGAAACAGCCACCCACTCAAACATGGCTTCCAAAACTTCATAGTATAACCCTAATGCATCCAAAACTGTAAATGATTGTATCCAGAAGGATGAAGATTGCTTGTGAGTCAATTTCTGTTTAAAATTTTCTCCCAAACAAACTAAAGCTAAAGCGCTGCCACTTGAAAATGAGGATTTCAGACACAGAACTGAATCTCATTGAATGTGTCAATATGTCTGTTTGAATGTTTCTATCACTGTCTGTGGTTAAACTGCTGCTTACCAGCTTGATCCTGCTCCCCGTACCACGTATTCCAGCTCCCGACCACTTCACATGGATATTCCCTGTCCTGATGGAGCTTGTTTTGTACTTCAGCCCTGAAGTCAGCATAAAATAAATGAACAAAAGCGCACAACTCTAAACACACAACCAATAAAGGTGCTTGCACTTGCAACACATGCTGTCATTTCAGCACAACGGCCGACGAGAGGGCTCTGAGGTGACGCAGCTGGTCGTAAAAACCCTAATCTACCTTGACCACACACTCCATTTTATTAGCATTTTGTCAGCTAAATGCTCTGTTAATCTTTTAATTCTAAAGAAAATGCTGTTTTAATGGTGTAGTTTCGTCCTGGTGATAAATGAGTCTTCCAAAGCAAATTTCCTTTCATTTGAGTCAGATCTTAACAAAATACAGAAGTTCATTTCAAGCTATACACCGTTAAAGCTTATTTTATTTTAAATTATCACAATATATCATTTCTTACTGCCGTTCATTAAATGTCTTTCCAGTCTTTTTTTTTTTTTTTTTTTTTTTTTTGAGGATGTTAGCGCAGTTCGTCCCTTCAACTAAAATCAAAACCAAACAAAACAGATAATTAACAGGTATCTAATTGAATTTATGTTTCCTCTACAACAGAATTAGTTTTTGTGCCACTTTAGTAAAGCTAGACTAACCCAAGGGCCAGGCTTATTTTCTGAAAATATTTTTATAAAATTGTGTTTCCTGCATTTTAATTTATATACTTTTGATGCTAAGCATTGAAGATGCAGTGAATTTGCTGATGATCATTTCATGGAGGTGAAGTTTTTCTGCCATCACCGCAGCAAAGCAGAAAAAGCCACATTTTTCTTTCTTTCTTTTGTTGCTCCCTCCTTCAGGGGTCGCCACAGCCACCAAACGCACAGAAGTTTAGCAAACGTTTTCACGCCGGATGCTCTTCATGACGTAACTGCTTATTACCGAGCTACCACAGCCCTCTTTGTGGAGTTGAGGGCTGCTATTAAGAGTTCCTCGAGGAGCAGCTGGGGTTGGGGGGTGTTAAGGGCCTTGCTCAAGACAATCCCACATTTTTAATGTAACAGTCAGGGGATTTGAGCAGGTGACCTCCATCACAGGCTTACTTTCTCTAACTTCTGCCCCGCCCCCTTACCTCATCACTCCAGAACTACCTCGTTAATCCTCCTTAATTTCTCTGAATAGGGGTTTGTCCATTTATCTGTTCTATTTGTATTATAAATCAAACAAAAAAGCACCCGGGGGGGAATTTGGGGATGAGGTGTGCTGCCCAGAGACACCACGTGGTCTCTGGGCAGCACACCTCATCCCCAAATGCCCCCGGGGTGCTTTCAATAGCTGCCCACTGCACCACCTGGTGGTGGATGGGTTAAATGCAGAGACTAATTTCACCATTATATGGAAACATGCAGTGATGACATTATTATTATTAATAATAATTTGATTTGTGGAAGCAGGC